TCCTCTGCTATGCCCTTGTGCCATGCTGCCCTGCCTTTGATCCAACTAACTATGAACTGAAAACTCTATAAACTGTAAGTCAAAATAAACCTCGCCTTTAAGTTATGGATGTCAGGTATTGTGTCCTGGCCCCCAAAATGACCAAGACACAACTATAACCATATCATGAAAATGCTAGCAGACACTTAAAAAGTTCTAATCTTTTACCTTGTAACCACCAAAATGGTTCTTTTCTAAATGAAGCTTCTCGTCCAGTTTGGTATTGTTCACAGAAATGCCGAAAGCAAAACCCAGGACTCAGTTATCACCTGGATGAAGGGGAATAGCTATTCCTTCTCTCCCCTCTTGAGCACTCATTCAGATCCACTCATTGTGCAAGGATTAGGCCTTGAATCCTTCCCCAGAACGAACATGTCACAGTCATTTCTCCCATTTCTAACTCCTTTACATTTACTGGATTAAGCCTTCACACCACTCAACACTTTTGTTAGTGACTCAATACTCTACCAAAAAATAGAATACTTTTAGAAAATAATTTAAAATCTCATTCTACATTGTTATAATAAATTTTTTTTTTTTTTTAGTTTGTTGGTATATTTTAGGTATACAATACAGGTACATTCATTATTGGGATCCTGTACCTTTACATGACAAGTCTTGGTTCTCATTTTTTCCCCTTGTCCCTGCCCTCCCTTCACCCCCTCTTCCCCTCCCCATTCACAAACACTTTATTTCCATTTTTTCATTTTCTTATGTTTTATTTCTTTTCCCTTATTGCCTTTCACCTACCCTTCCCACTTTCCCTACACCTTTAGCCCTTTTCTTCCTATTTCACATTGTCAGTTATCTCATTATAGTTTTTCACACCAGAGAAACTATTCTGTATTTACACGTGTGACTTATTTATTTCACTTAGGAGTACATCCTCAATATGTATCCATTTTCCTATGAATGAATCTAATTTCTCATTCTTTATGGCTGAGTAATATTCCATTTTATAGAAAAAACACATCTTCTTTATCCAGTTTCCAACTGATGGGCAAATGGGCTGTTTCCAAGTTTTAGCTATTACAAACTGTGTCGCTATAAACATGGGTGCGCATGTATCACTGTGGTATGATTCTTTTAATTCTTTTGGAAAGATACCCACCAGAGGGATAGCTGGATCAAATGGAACCTCTAATCCTAGATCTTTGAGGCATCTCCGTATTGATTTCCATAGTGCTTGCACCAGTCTGCACTCCCACCAACAATGGAGAAGGGTTCCTTTCTCCCCACAACCCCACCAACATTTGTTATTGGTTGATTTCCTGATAGCAGCCATTCTTTGTGGGGTGAGGTGGAATCTCAGTGTTGATTTCATCTGCATCTCTCGAATGACCAGTGATGTGGAACATTTTTTCATATATTTACTTGCTGCTTTTACTCTTTGATAAATGTCTGTTCATTTCAGATGCCCATTTTTGAATCGGGTTTTTATATTTGGGGGGGCTGATTGTTTTGAGTTCTTTATATAGTCTAGATAAGAGCCCTTTGGCTGAGGAGCAGCATATGTGAGTCTAAAGTTTTGTTAGAGTAGAATGTAAGATCTTTATGAGCAAAGAATGCAACTTCTTTTCTTTTCTCTTTGGGGGCTGATTGGTGAAGGCCTCCTGGTAGTGGTGGTGACGAACACTTTTTAGTTCCAGGCCAGCTCACAGAGCCGAACTCACTCTGAGAACCATGGGAGATGAAAGGCTCGAGGCAGCTGGACTCGTTTGGGAGTCCAGCTCTGTGCTTCCCCTTCTGTGGAGTATGCACAATGTGTCTGGGAACTGACTACCTAGCCAGGCTTTGTGTTTCCAGAATCTCATGAAGTTGGACGATATGACTAGATCCTGCCAATGGAAGATGAGTAGAAACAATGGGTTATGGCTTATATCTAGATGTTCCACCCAAGACTCATGTGCTTGTAGGTGGGGCTTTTTGGAGGTGGCTAGATCTAGGGTGTGTGAAGGTGGATTCATGGTGTAACATTGGGATTAAAAGTGTGCAGATTAGTCTGCTTACTGTTTTAGCTTTAGTTCTTGATGTGGATAATGGAAGCCCACCTGGGTGTGGGTGACACCAATTAATAGGCTTACAGCTGGGATGCAGTACAATGATAGGGAAGGCAAGCTTACTACTGCTGCTGCTGTTTGTCGCTTTGCTGCCTTCTGCCTGCCCTGCTTTGCCATGGACTGTTTCTCCTCTGCGATGACTCTCTGTTGTGCCACCTTGCCTCAGAGAGAGCAGACTATGGACTGAAACCACAACAGATGGTGAGCCAAATAATCCTCTCTTCCTTTAATTTTGTGTGCCAGGTATTTTGCCCTGGTGGCAAGAAAAGTAACTAAGACATGATGTCAGCCACTTCCAGAACTGTCTCACAAAATCCTCCCACTCTCCCCCACCTGCCAGCTGGATGTTGATGCTCAAGGCCTAATAACATCTATTTGCAGAAGAGTCTGTCAACCTGCATCCCTGAATTACCATACGGAACAGAGCCTTACTGAACGATGGGTGAGCAGGAATGAGCTCCTATTATGTGAAGCCATGGAAATTTGAAGGCTTATTTGCTCCAGCAGTTGTCATTACCTTTTTTAGAACAAAGGGTTTCTTTTGTGGCGAGAGTGAATTGTACACTGTTGGGTTATCTGTGGCATTCAATGATGCCCAAAGACAATCTGATTTACTCCTTACTTCCCAGTTTGGGACTTGCTTATATATTAACTTTTGAGTTCAACTAAGCCAGCCCAGAAATGATTATGCTCCTGGCAAGTGCTTCTATCAATATGGTAATCTTAAGAATCCAGAATAAGTCCTTTGAAATTGGCTCAATCATGTAAAACATGCAGAATGCTCTTTAAAAGGAGAGATAAAGAGATACCCTAAAACAAAAAGCCCATGCTTTTCCTTCCCTGAATTTTTTTCTTTCCATCCATCAAAATGCAATACAGATTAGCCACCATTATATCCACCCATTTGTATGAAGACATCACAGATATTGTCAAGTAAACCAGTTCTGTTCACGTGATTGTATGTCTTTTGCATGCTGGTACAGGTGTGTATACCTGTCAACTTCTTAGAGGATTAAAATCAAGTCATTTCTGATTTTATCCATGCATTTTAATAGTCTATAGTGACACTCAACAGCTTATAGAGGAATTAATCTTATCTCGTCATATCCTAAGAATTTTAGTGGTGAGGAATTTTCAAGCCAGATCCATAGCAGTATAACTTCAAACTTTTTTCCCTGGCTAGAGTACATAATAGAGAATGAAAGAGCTTTAGAGCGATTCTCTTGGGTATTGTTTTTTTAAATGTACTCCAAGATGTATAGAATTTTAAAATCTCTCCCTTTCTGGTTGTGAGGATAAAGTGTAAGCTTCTAAATAGTATCTGTACATTTTTGATCAGGCTCCTGTTCACCTCTCCTACCCCACCCACTGTGCACCCACATTCTGTGCACCAGCCCCTCTGCGACCCCTTCCCGTTCCCGGGGTTCTATGCACTCGTTCCCCTTCGGCCTTTGTACGCACAGTTCCCTCAGCCTAGGCCTGGTATCACCTCCTTCTTCCTGCTCTTCTTCCTTCCTGCTCTTCTACTCCGGCCTTAACTTGGCTGTTGTTTCTTCCACACAGCTTATTCTGACTGCTCTTCAAAACCAGGTTAAGTGAACTTCCTGAGACTGCCATCAACGTGATTCTTAATAGGAAGACTCAACACCTCACGCAGTAATTGAATTTTAGTGGTCAGTGTCTTTCTGCAGATTTTAGTCTCCATAAAGTCAGAGGTAGTCTTTGCAATGACATTTAATCTAATATCAAACATTACACATGGACCATCATATGCACTCAGAAAATGTTGATTGAATGTTGCTAAATTTAGAGTACCCCTCATCTGCTGTTGAGATTTACCATGCCTATAAAGATGATGTTACTAACCCACCAACCCAAGGACACTTGTCTTGAATTTTCTTATTCCCAGGATCACCTGTGATGGAAAGAACTGAAGTGGTAAAAGAGCTGGGTGTAAATCATAGTTGTCATTTGTAGAACAAATGATTATATTCAGTGACTCAATTCACAACCCTGGATTCATGCTGTAATTAACTGAAATAGGACAGCAGAGACTGACTTGTACAAAATGATCAAGAAAGATATAAATATAAGTCACAAAACAAGTGAAGCTCTCACTGATTTGGGTAATTTGAACTTGTTTCTTCCAATCTGTACATTCAGGGAGAATAATCCAGTGCAGCAGTAGCAAACCAGACCTGCCTCCCTACCTGCACATTGTGGCTCAGCAGTGAGTGGAGTTCCTCTTTGAACTGATACTTGACTTGTTCCAGCACACTTTTGACCCTGGATGTTGCTCTCTCAGAGTCTATTCTCAACATTAATCTTCCTGTCCCCCATACTAAATGTGGTCTTGTGTTTCTAATCATGATCTTCCTTAGTCACCATCTTGCCTTAGGCTCCACTCTTGCCTAATTAGGTTCAAGGTCAGAAAATCCTGCTCTCCTTGATCTGAGACCTCCAGCTGCCAAATGCCCACCAGCATGATGCATTACTGGCGGCCTCAAGACTTGACCTTCAAATGCCAGGACTTCCAAGAGGATTTGGAGCATCCAAGTATGAGGGTGAATGCTCACCTGTTGCTATTGCTCTGGCATACATGAGTACAGAAGAACTATGGAGACTTGGAGAACATGGCGGCATGCCGTTGGGAGTTTTCTAAGGCCATAGACTATGGTGTAGAAAGAGATAAGCCTGGGGCTTCATACCAAAGCATCCTCAGTTCACCAGACCCTTCTCATGTTTTAGGGTGGAGGAAGAAGGAGTCCAGGAGTGTTTGCTATGGTGAGCAGACCAGAAAATATTAAAATGGGACAATTACAGAGACTTTTTAAACCCAAAGCATCAATCAGTGATATTATATTGACTATTGATACTGTGCATATAATTGCCTGTTTTTACCTTGTGTAACTGAAAATACTGGAAGGCACCAACTCCACCTTGTTCCTCTGCAGTCCACAGCACCAGGCGCAGAGTTCTCTTTGGACGCAACCCTAGGAAAAATAATAAAAGAAATGATCTGTCAGTTGATTTTGGAATTTTTTTCTAATGGCAGCACCCATCACCTGCATTGTGGACGCAGGGGAGAATCAGAGGCCCTCCTCTCTTGCCATGCAGCTGCCTGCCTGAGGGTATGGCTGACACAGCAAAGGAGAAACTCGGGTGATCTCCAGGGCTAGAGAGAAGAGCTATGACAGGTGCTGTCTGCAGGTCGGGAAGGGAGAGTCTCTAATCCCATCCTTAATTGGCTAGCCTGCCTGGAAGGGCCCAAGGGATGGTCAAGTTCAGGAAGATACTAGATGATATCCAGAAGGTGCAGTTAGGAAGAGCTTAAGGAGATCTTGAGGTTTTGCAGAAATATTACCTGGGACTAAATCGTTTGATTCTACCTCAAGATAATCAAGGGTGGGGGGAGCAGATTACAATTCACAAGTACGGCTAGCTTCTCATGCTATCTGCAGTACTGTTGTAACCAAGAAATGATTCAACATTTATGTTTGTCCATGACCAGTTTCTTCTTCTATTTAGAAATATAAGGTCACTCACTGAAGATCAACAAAAATTAATTGACTAGGGATGACATTTATTCACTTTATTACTTCACTAACAGCTTATGGCAATTTCATTGACTTGTGCTAAACAAACTTGTACAGGTAGTCCCTGGCTTATGGTGGTTCAGTTTACTAGTTTGTTGTTGTTGTTGTTTTTGTTTTGTTTTGTATTGTTTTGACCTTACAATGATGCAAAAGCAGTGCATAGTCAATAGAAAACAAGATATGAATTTTGACCTTTTACCAGGCTAGCAATATGAGTATGAGTCTTTTTTGTGAGATTGGGCAGCAGAAGCTAGCCACAGCCAGCAGTCAGTACAGGATCATAAGGAGAAACAACGGAGGCTCTGTGATGCCTTGTGTAGCTCATCTGGGATGTTGGCTAGCTTAGGCGCATTAGATGCATTTTAGCCTTAGGAGATGCTCAGGTTATGAAGAGTTTATCAGGACATCTCCCCATTTTCAGTCAAGGAAGTTACTGAAGTTAATAATGGTAGGCCTGGCATGTCTGGGACCATTTTTGAGTGAACATATCTGCTCAGTAAAAATTAATACAAGGAAGCTGTTTTCTAAAATTAAATCATGATGAAACAGTAGTATTAAAGTGCCACTTTGTCACCCAGAATTAAAATCTGTCCTGATAATGTCATTTCGTAGAACTAGAAAAGGCATAAAAACGTGAGCCTGTACTTATATCTTACTAAAAGGATTTGTCTCCCCACCTCCTCACAGGCCAGTCATTGGTAAAGACTGAAATGCTCTTTGAGTGGCTCTGAGATCGACGTGCTATGAGGCTCTGCTATAACCACACGTGATCTGCCACTCAAGAGTACGGGGACAGGCACTAAAGGCAGGAGCTACATGGTCAGCTGCAGCTGAGGCATGGAAATCCTTCTTTCCATCTCCAGATGCCCACAGTCATCCTCCTCTCACAAGCATAGTGCTAAGTTGCTAAAGGAGGCAGTTATATGTTTTTCTGAAATGAATACGACTGCGAAGTTATTTTACACTTGAGAATTTTGACATTATTAAAAGAGTCCAGGTTAGAATGCAGGCTGACCTGAGTTCCAGGTAAAGCCTGGAAAAGCAATTTCCACCTCAATTCCACCTCGAATCCTCCAGCATGTCCTTGTAAGTCCATCAGAACTGAACTCCTCACCTCGGTTGCACTCTGGTCCAGGCTCTACCCTCTGGTGTCTGGATTGTTGCAGCTGTTTCCAAAGAGGTCTCCTTCCCTTCACCGTCACCTCTGAGAATGATGCTGCATAGAGTGGCCAGAAGAACTTTCCCAAACCTAAGCTGATCAGACTGTTTCTCTGCTCAAAACCTCCAATAACCAAAGAGGAAGCTTCCGCTTCTTAGAGGCAGGGATTTCTGTGTTTTAATTCAGTTCCCAGATTATTTGGCACACACTAGATATTCCATATGTAGTACTGAAGGGAAGTCTGAACACAAAGCTTGGTAATTTTATTAGAATAAAATTCCAAGTCCCTTCTCAGTCTCATCTAGAACTTCTGCCCATTTCCAGGCAAGGTGCTACCTGTGGAAGAGGTAGACAGATCTACTGAACCCTGCTATCATTAGATTGGCCTGCCTGAACCTCACTCAGCCTTTTCATCTGACACATGGAGAAGGTGTTACACACCTATACTGTAACTCTTCATTGGGTGGTTGTGGGGATTAAATGAGATGGGATGATGTATGCAAAATGACCCTGTAGCTGATATGTAATTGACATCTAATAATGAACTACAAAAGTACACGACAGTATCCAGGCAGGGAACACACACTTAAACCTCCACACAAAAGAAGGGGCAACCACTGCCCAAGGAGAGAATCTTCAAAGCGCTTGAGGAGGAAGAACCTTGGAATGACCACTGCTTGCTCCAATGTCAAACCATCTATCACATGTTATTCTTATGGTTAAGATCAGGTGTAGAGTCTGACCCCCCGCTCACATTCATGGCATGAACTGAACAAAGTGTTGTCTCAGAAGGAAATCTAATAGGGATTACTCAAAATTTCAACCTTCAATTTCTCTAAAAGACATGTGTTTAAAGTGGATTTAAATCAAAGGATATTTTGCTTGGAACCTGGGGAGGGGAGAAAATAAGACAAAGTAATATCATTTATATTACTGAAAATGAAAACGCTAAACATTTTCAAATGTATCAGGAAAACACATTTTCTTTTTACATCTCTCTGTACCTAGCAGAAAAATAGTATCAAATTATTAAAATGATTGAATTCTCTAAATAATGATATGAGAGCAGCACAAGCTGGAGAGAACCTACATTTTAAAAGCCAGTGTTCTGCATATCCCTGTAGACTGGTGTGCTGCCTGAAAGTCATTAGTCTCCCTCACATTTCAAATCAGTGATGGCCAAGGATGCTATATTAAGAGAATAAAGAAATAATGAGTCTGAAGTGAGGCATGCTAATGTCTCAAAAGGATAGAAGTAGAGTGGGCTGTAAAAAGACAGAGCCTCCTCAAGACGCTGCAAAATTCAGCACCCAGCGGCAAGGAACACTGGTACCTTCACAAAGCCGAGTCCCATAGAGTAGATGAAAACTCAGGGGTTTTAGCAAGTACTTGTGTTCAAAGTCTCTTTCCACTCTGACAATCTGATTGGCCCTAAACCTCAGAAACGCATGGGGCCTTGTTCATAGACTCTGAGCCTGGTGTGGCATTTGGATGCCCAGGCCACCTAAGTCCACAAGGGACAGCATGGGGCATAGCAAGACACTGACTGTGGAGTCTGAATGAGTTGAGATTCACTCCCAGCTCTGCCACTTTTGGCCCTGCTGAGTGGGAGGCATCCCAGTCTAAGGCAAGTACATGGAAGAAGGTTGTAGATCAGAGGTGAGAGGGTGACCAAACCAAGCTTTAGCTGGCTAGGAGTCAGGTCTTTCTGAGGTTTTGTCAGAGGAAAGGCAATTAGTTTTCCTACAGATTTATACAAACTTCCCAGAGACCCTGTGACCTCCTTGAATTTCAGTTAAGACCTTCAGATAGTACAACAATTTACAGCATCATGGGTTTTATTTTTTCTGTAAAAGAAGAAAACTACTGATAACATGTCTGAACTTTGTTTTGGGCCATAAATATAAATACGTGTATTTCATTTCCCTTTTGTTAAAGAAAATGATGCCAGGGGAAACACTGCCTATGAGAAAAGATGAAAACATATGTTTAGCCTTTAGGTTTCTGTATTTCTCAAATTTAAAAATGAGAAGGCTGAGAGATGACAATCATTAACTGTTGAATTGAAAAGGTCTGTTGACTGTCTTAAGCTTGCACCACCAGGGCAAAGAAAAATAAATGTGAATTTCAGCAGAAAAACTCAGATTAGTCCAGCCTTGTAGGTAACATTCCCAAATCACAACTTCTATATGATACTTTTTGTTAATGGGGTGAATTAACTCTGACACCCACTACTCAGTTTCAAGCCTTCTGAAACTACACTTACGTTCTCCCTATTGTAACGTAACTCCGCAGAGAAAATGCAGCTTTTTCTTATGGAAATATACTCACTCTAGCTCATAGATACATTGGTTGACAATTACCTTTCAGCAGCACTTTCAAGGAGACCTACACTTCCAGAGACTTCTATTCCTACAATAAGGTGGAGTTATAGAAATAAAGTGCAACCAAGTAGCGTATGAGTTCAAGTAGAGAAGATACTAAAACATTATGGCTTAATACATGGGGTTTGAGTCTTAGTTCCACCTTGAACAAGTTACATAATTCATCATATAATATATGAGTACATCATCATTGATTTTTATTGTTGTTGTTTGAGAGAGGGTCTCACTGTGTAGTTGAGACCGACTTGGAACTCACAATGTAGCCCAGGCTGGTCTCGAACTTGCAGCGATCCTCCTGCCTCAGCCTCCCAAGAGCTGTGATTATAGGTGTGCTCCACCATGCCCAGCGTCATCATCATTGATTTTTAAAATAGGGGGCATGGTTAGGCAAAGATTATTTTATGTAGATCATAGGCAGGAGCAGAAGGTCACTTTGAAGATGAACTTTGTTCTTGGGAGAATCACCTGGTGTCCTTTTAGTTATGTAAATATAAAACAATTAAGAACTTTTGTGGAGAACATGGCAGGGCAACAGAACGTTCTTTAAAGTCCATCTTGCAGACCTATCTCTTGAGCCACCTGAAGGGACAACTGGGAAAGAGAATCAGTACAAAAATGAAAGCCAAGCTCCTGTGTCCTCAACTGTTTCCTTTGACTGAAGGCTGAAGATAAGAGATTTGTTGGGGCAAGGTGACACTGATTAAGGTTCTTACACAGGGAAGGTCCTCAAAGCCACAGAAATAAAGTTGGAGCGGGGTGGCCGGGCTGCTGAGCTGGGAAGTTGGGGCAGCCAGCTCCAGAATTTCCTCCAGATCCAGCCCCTCTGGCACCATGGAGATAATTTAGAGAAAATA